TCCCAACAATTACTCCATTCACCCACAGCAGAAGGCAATGGCAAACCACTTCTGGATCATCTGCCAAGAACGTATATGAACAGGTCCCAGTCCGAGAAGAGAAAAGGATGGAAGGATCCTGTTCATATGGACCTGTCGTCAGACAGAACACTAAATAAAAATAAATTTACGAAGACACCGCACCGGTCCCTGTCTTGAGCCAGATGAATCCAATCAGATTAATTTTAATGTTATCCTCCCATCCACGCACAGTGGTCCACTTTCGTCAGGCTTGCCAACTAAAATGTGATCTCTTGCATCGGGTTCGATTCTCGGCAGGGTGGCATTTTGCTGTTCGCTACTGTGTGGAGTTAACATCAACTCCTCCATACGTCAGTAATGCGTGGTACTTGATTAAGCCCCTCGTATAACTTTCCTTTACGCTGTCTTCAGTTATCTAGTCAGTCAATCGATTGCTGAAATGTTGCCCACAGTGCGGCGGGGTCACTTTGTGAAATGGTTCCACTCGCCAACCAAAGCTCATGACGTTTGTATTCTGTTTCGGATGACGTGGCACCGGAAGTGCCTTAAAGCCCGGTTCCGGTACAGACTGCCCGCAGACAGCGTGGACACGAAATCCAATATGACGTAAGACATTTCTTTACGGATTTCATCGAGATATCAAAAGCGACAGGCTGTACTGCTGGTAGGGACATCTAGAGCATTTCCCTGTCACCACGTCCAGACATTCTAGGGACACATCGACTGTACCAGACTTCCTTAAAATAGTTGAGGTTTACGTAGACGCCAGCCAATCGCTTCGGTAAGAATATGAGGTTGAGTCTGACTGAATTTTTTTTTTTTGGGGGGTTATTTAACGACGTCGTCTCAACCACGGAGGTTAGATTAACAGGATACGGACTCGTAAGGAGTTGATCGTGGATTGCAAAAACGGAAGATAGAAAAATAAATAAATCACGTAAGGATGTCAGCTGAGAGGTTCGATCCCCGGACCAGCCGCGTGCAATTCTGGAAGATTCACACCAGATCCAACGAACCAGCCCTCCAACTGTTCTTAAAGACAGAAGACACTAAAGAGGCTGTTGGTACATTTGACATACCCCGTTCTTCCTCTACGCACAGTGTCTCATAATCCGACTAATTACTACGACCAATATGGATTTCGTCTGTGCTGTGGATGTTGAAACCAGGATCTGACCTCTTGATATAACGAGCGTCTCTCTCAGATGACCAGAATGCCCCCTGTATCTCCGCCAGATTCATTCTACATCTCAAACAGCTGCCGACCTGCAGCAAAATCGATTCAGGAAATAACAGCAAAACAAATGAATAACGTTACAACAATGGCGAGAGACATTTCCGGAGCATCGTGGGACGGCGTTGGAGTTTGTGATTGTTGTGAAAAGAAAACTGCTTGATTGTCGTATCCGTGCAGGCTTACAGTGAGAAACGAAATCGATTTGAAAATTTAACATTCAAATTTTTTTTTTTCTCTTAGTACGAAGTTCGAATTTTAAAAATCCTCGTGAAAGATATTTCATTGTTACCAACTTCTTTGTCGATTATTTTTTCTGCTAAAAATAATTATAACAATTTTTCTGTCTGGTCTTCAGGACAATTTAAACGTTGTACTCAATTAAAAATCAAAATTATAATCATAAATTGAGTTTTAAGGTAAGTCTAGTAATTATTACAATAATCCATTGTTTAATTCGAAGCGACAAACGTTTTGTTTGGAATTCAAGTAAAAACGAAAGGCTTAATAACATGTATTCAAAACACTTTATTACCGGAAAACGTAACAAAATGGAAAATTATCCATTCAAATGATAAGTTTCGTAATTAAATACCCAGCCAAAACGAAGAGTTTACTGTAACGAATCCAACAAGTTTTGGCTTCACTGTTTTACCCATTAAAACAGTATCCAAATGTTTATGACAACAACAATTACAGTGTAATGAAGGCATCCAGTTATGTTCTGAAGAAACATTTCCCTCCAGGAGAATTCTACGAAAATTTCCAGCCCGGAATTTTGGAAACGAACTGCTTTGTATCTGCCCCGAAGTAATAACAAACGAAATTAGATTTGCAGTCAATGTTTTCCGACCGGACGACGACTGAAAATCCTTTAAACAACTCGACAAGCAGGACTGTGTTGACGGTAACATCACAGCGTTCGAACGCCAATATTTACGGTTGATGTTTTCATAACGGATAGTAGCGGAAATCAAAGATTTGTTTTTGTGTGTGTGGATGAAGAAGGTGGCGGAGTGGATCAAGGCTTACTGGAACAGCTAACACCAGTCGTATAGGACGCCACTTCATGGACGGTC